GCTAATAACTTCTTATCATGAATCTCATAGTTGCATTCCACAGGTGAATGCTTGTGAGAGAAGAAGGCACATGAGTGTAGAATGCTCTGCTCATCATATTGTAACAGTGCTCCTTCTGAGATGTAATCTGAGAAGTCTGTTTTCAATATAGTCTCATAGTTAAGGTTAAATTGAAGCAGGATTGAAGCAGAGATAAACATTGATTTTAGATACTTAAAAGCTTCCTCAGCCTTGCTTATCTACAAAAAAGGAACATTCTTGTGTATAAGAATTGTCAGTGAGATCACAATCTTTGAGAAATCTCTGATAAATTGTCTATAGAAATTGACAAAGCCTAAAAATCCTCATACATCTTTAAGAGTAGTAGGTGTCACCCATTCCAAAACAGCTTTAACCTTCTCTGGATCTATTCATATACTCTTACCTGCTTCAATGATAAATTCAAGATATTTTGTGCTGTTTATCTCAAACTCACTTTTTCTGATATCTGCCTGCAGGCCTGCTTTCTGTAGATGTATAAGCATCTTTTGTACATGCTCACAATGCTCCTGTAAGCTTCTTGAGGAAAATATCAAGATGTCATCTAAATAGACTGAGCAGAAGTCATTCAGATATTCACATAATGCCCAGTTGATATATTTTTGAAATGTGCTCAAAGCATTGGCCAAACCAAAAAGTGTAATCAGCCACTCAAATAGTCTGTATCTGGTTCTAAAGACTGTCATCCACTCATCATCTTCTATGATTTGAATCTTGTGAAAAGCTGCAATAATGTCCAGCTTAGTGAATCATTTAGCCTGTTCAATTTACTGCAGAGTCTCACTGATTAATGATAGAGAATATCAATTCTTTCAGATGATTTTGTTAAGAGCTCAATAGTTCACACAGAATCTTAACTCACTCTCAGACTTCTTTGCAAATAGTACAGGAGCAGCTGCAGAGGAGTTGCTCATTCTAATAAAACTCTTATTCAGATAATCTGTAAGAGTCTTTCACAAAGCCAGTAGTTCCTCTCAAGATATATTATATAATGAGCCCCAATGGGGTTGTTCTGTGCTATCATTGGCCTTTTTAATCAGTTCAATCTCATGATCTCTACCTGGGCCACAAAGTGGAGCTGGAGTGTCAGCAGCTTCCTTATCAAATACATTCAAAAACTCATAATAATGTTCAGGCAGCTTTTCTCTAGGGTCAATCTTTGATTTCACTTCTAGAGTCTTTTGAATGTTAGTCAAACTGACAGCAAAGATCTTGATGTTTCACTTCTCTTGAGTGCTCATAAGTCTAGAGAAGTTTACAGCAGAGATGGAAATCACATCAGCTTTTGCATTTGAACTAGGCTCTACCTCTATGCCACTCTTTTCAAATCTCATAATTCTTTGATAAGGGATCACAGTCACCTTTTGCTGGGTCAGTCAGGGGTCATTTAGATACATATCATGACCATATAACCTATTCACCACATAGAGAAAGGCTCATTCAGTTATGTGATCATCTATATCAATTCAAATACCAGTCACTATGCTTGTGGAGAGTCCCATAGAGTCTTCAAAGCTGGTTATTTTAACAGAGGGAATTTCAATATATGAGAGCTTATACTTGTTAACATAGAATTGAGAAATAAAATCATAGACATTACATTCACTGTCTATCATTGCTTTAGTTGAAAAGGTATTATCTACTAGAGCATTGACAGTGAAGAGTTTGAATATCATCTTAGATTTAAATATTCTCTATTGCTTTCTCATAAACTTCTTATTTTGCTCCTTCCAGTGTCTTTTGATTGGAGCTACTCTTTTCCTAAATTCTCATCCATATTCACATTGTCATTGTTCAGTACCAGCTTGGGGATCACATTAGCTATCATAAGGGTGGCAGAGCATCTGAGAGGTTTGAACAAATAGCTCTTAATCATATGATCTTCAGCTCTGCATCTCAGGTACAGACCTTGCTCTCTTTATTGATTAACCTCTGTCTGATTTATCAATTTGATATAGTGAGTGCTTGGGGTCACAGCACCAGGAGAGAGATTCATCAGATCATCAATGAAAGCTTGAGACTAGTTTCATTAGTCAAGAATAGCATGATGAAGTAGAGAATGTGAATTAGATGTTATATGATCTGAAGAAGATCTGTTCTCACAATGTTTAGATTACTGTCTTAAAGTCTTAAGCTCAGAGAGTTGATGATCAACTAATCTAAGCTCTCTGCAGTAATTCTCATAGAGAGATGATTCTCTTACATCCACTATGCCTTCCCTTAGCTCCATGCTTAGAGTAGATTTTAAATACTTCTTTTTAACATGATCATCTCATTTGTGACCATCAGCTTCCAGCAGTAGCTGATTAAATTCAGGCAGAAAGTTAAAGAGAGCTCTTCTACTCTGCTGTAGATTGTTGAGCTTTTGCATAGTCTTTTCCTGTTGTGCAGAATCACTAAAGAACATGTGTGTCTGCTTCAGTAAGCTCTCTACTGTGAAGTTGATCTTGTTCTTATTATTCTCAACTTAGAGGTAAACTCAAGCTGCTGCTATTTCTTTCAGTCTTGAGTACACATACTAAGTACATTCCTCATTATTACTTAAAGCTTTCTCATCAATCTTAAGTTTTGATTGAAGCTTTAGCTCTCACTGAGGATAGTGCTCCAGATTAGAATCATCATACTTCTTGCAGTCTGATAGCTTGATCTTTGGTCTTCTGACTGTAATAAGTGGTTACAGGTTTAATTGAGAGAGGATTGATGTTGAGATGTTCAAAGCTTGTTGTAGATTAGCTATTTCAGCTTACTAAGCTGCTATTAAATCTCTGTTCTCACACTGAACCTGTTCTTGCTATTGAAGAAAGGTCATCCATTGTTGTTCAAAGCTGCTGAAAGTGTCTCTGCTCATTGCTTCATATTGATTCATTTGTTGTACAAGTCTGCCACTTTATCTCATTCAGCTAGATGTTTTCAATGTTGCTCATTCATTTATTAGCACAATTGCTAACCCAGTCTATTCATATACCAGTGCTATTATTAAACTTTGTGATGCAGGATTTAAGGATCTTAATAGTCTATCATATATCAGCATGTTTGCTGAGCTTTATGATATAGGATTAAAACTCCCAGTAGTCTATCAATGAAAGAAGTGAAGCAATTCATGATGTAAAGGGTTAAGCTCTAAGAACTAGAGGCTAGTCCTCCTATATAACAAGGACAAATTGCTTGAGAAAGAGAAGAAAAGAATGAAATGAGAACTCAAGCTTAAGCAAGCTCACGTAGCACAATCACATGTGCATGTGCAAATGATGGCTAGGCTGAGTCAGCCAGTCAGAGCAAATCTATGGGTTTAACCTCTTATAATCTCACATTATTGAGATTTAGAATTTCAAAATATGATGAAGGATTTCTATTTCATTCTATTCATAAAATGTATTTAATACTGCATATTGATGATTGCAGAGTTATAGGCCCCAAAGAGACAGAATTAAATTAAATATTAAATAAGATATAAAAGAAATTTGATACAAAAGATATTAAAGAAGACAAGTATTATCTTAAAATGAAAATCAAATACAGGCTAAATGCAGGCTAAATGATGACTTAGCAGTCTTATAGACCTACTATATTGAAGAGATTCTTGAAGATTTTAGAATAAATAAGATTAACCTCACTGATACATCTATGATGATAAGTATACAACTCAAATTTGCCTCAGAGGAGGATAGTGAATTGAAAGATAAGTTTACAGTTATGAGATATTGTCAGGGACTTAGATCACTTCAATATCTTGTATCAAGCACAAGATTAGATTTGGCATTTGCTGTGAACTATTTGTCAAAATTCAACTCACATCTAAATAAGAACTGCCAGGTGACCCTGAAGCATGTCCTTTACTATGTAAAGAAGATGAAAGCCCTGAGAATAGTTTACAAAAATGAAAAAGATGATAGAAACCTATAGCCAGTTGCTTATTGTGATTCAAATTGAGCAGGTGCAGACCCTTAATATAAATCAATATCTGACTATATCATCATGATTAATGAATCCTCAATATCATGGCATCCATAATGTTAAACATTAACTACAAAATCAACAACAGAAGCAGAATATATCACTGCTAGTGAGACTGCATGTGAGCTTATTTGATTGTATGATATGCTGCAAGATGCAGGCCTGATGGAAGGAAAGTCAAAGATCTGCACAACATTGCAGGTGAATAATAAAGATGTCATTGATCTGATAAAGAAGAAGTTCTTGACAAAGAGATTCCATTACATAAAGATTCATTATCATATACTTCATGACCTAGTTGAGAAGGGAGAGGTGGAGCTCTCACATGTAGATTCTACAGCAAATAAAGCAGATGGATTTACAAAGCCTCTGCCAAAGCCAGCTTACAATGAATTTGTGGAGAAAATAGGATTGATGGAGGTCTGGCCTCATTGATGAGGATGATTGATTCTACATGGTTTTGCAGCCCTTAAGGAGGTGTAATGAGAATACAGGTTAGGAGAATAATTGTGTGCTTTCTTTGCAAAGTTACAGTACAGAGGCGTAATAGAGCTTTTCCTAATAGGGAAACTAGCCTCTGATTCCTGTATTTAATTTTTATTGCGGATTTGAGGGCATTCAGTAGGGGATAGGGCAGAGCTCGGGCTCACCGTGGCATGGGGAGGTGTTGGAGGATTCCCCGGCTACCCGAGGTCACGTGCACCTATGTATTTATTAGTAGCTAGCTAGCTTGCTTAGAGTCACACAATGCAACAAGGTTGATAACGGTCCTCTAAGAACTTGCTTATGTGGCCGACTCACTTATCGATTACGTTAACAAGAAAAAGAATTTGCTGGGTTGCACCGCGCATCGGAAGCCTTGGCGCCCAGAGAATTTGCTGCGTAATTAGTCAGCGGCTGTCGCCTGCTCTAACCAGACCGAACCGTTTGACCTTCAGAAAGATTTTGCACCGTCAAGTTGCTCGATTTCGATTCGTCTTAGTTCTATTTGCGCTCTCTCAATCACCATGTCAAACCTAGCACCATCCGTATTCAGACAAGCGCTTCGTGCGCGTCCGCGGCGATGTGCCTCCGCCAGGCCACGACTATCGCGACTGGCGGCTGCCAGACGGTGCTATGCGTCAGAGTCAAACCCAGCTCAAGCTCAGGCCAGCGTGAATGTGAGCACCACCAGGGCCGAGCAAACTAGCACATTGCCGCAGGATCCAATTGTGCCGGGTCCTCCTCCAGTTAGCGGAGATGCCATGACGAGCCCGTCTGCTGGCATTCTGAAGCAAGCCACCCTCCTAGACCAGGGATCTCGGCCGATATACCTCGACATGCAAGCCACGACACCCACGGATCCACGTGTGCTTGACGCAATGCTTCCTTTCCTCACTGGCCTTTACGGGAACCCCCATTCGAGAACGCATGCGTACGGATGGGAGACTGAAAAGGCCACCGAACAGGCGAGGGAACGTGTTGCCAAGCTGATCGGGGCGGATGCTAAGGAGATCATCTTCACCAGTGGCGCGACGGAGAGCAATAACATGAGCATCAAGGGTGTTGCGAAGTTCTTTGGACGATCGGGAAAGAAGAAGCATATAATCACGTCGCAGACTGAACACAAGTGTGTTTTGGACAGCTGTCGACATCTGCAGGATGAGGGATTCGAGGTCACATATCTCCCTGTTCAGAACAATGGGTTGATAAATCTCGATGACCTTAAGGCTGCCATCCGTCCCGAAACGGCGTTGGTTAGCATCATGACCGTCAACAATGAGATCGGCGTTATTCAGCCGATTAAAGAAATTGGAGCCATCTGTCGGGCGAATAAAGTATTCCTCCATACAGATGCGGCCCAGGCAGTCGGGAAAATCCCGATCGACGTCAATGATTGGAATGTCGACCTCCTTTCTATTTCCGGACACAAGATATACGGCCCCAAAGGCATTGGAGCTTGCTACGTGCGACGGCGGCCGAGAGTTCGTCTTGATCCCATTATCACTGGGGGTGGCCAGGAGAGAGGTCTCCGAAGTGGAACCCTTGCTCCTCATCTTGTCGTTGGTTTTGGAGAAGCGTGCCGCATTGCAACAGAAGAGATGGAGGTAAGCTAGTCCTTCTTTATTTTTCTTTATTTTTTTTTTCTTTTTTTCTTTTTTTCTTTTTTTTTTAATCTGTCATGACGCAACCAAAACGGCATTTATATCTTTTCTGGTTATCTTTTCCCACATCCCCGTGCACGAAATGATTACACGCCTTATCCCAAGTCGTCTGAGAGTAGTTGGTTATGTAGCTTCGCAGCTTTTGCTGTTCAACCAACTCTCTTTGATTTACGTAGCAGGGCTATGATTGGCTTGGGAGGATTTGATTCTTCTTCCCTCCTGCTTATATATCTCTGTCGCTATATCCATCATTTGACAGTCTGCTTCGGATTGCTGATGCGGTTATATTCCAGTATGATGCGAAACGCATCGAATATCTGTCCAAGCGGCTTCTGGACGGCCTTCTCTCAATGGAACACACGACCCTAAACGGTGACCCGGACAAACACTATCCCGGCTGTGTCAACGTGTCATTCGCTTACGTCGAGGGTGAGTCCCTCCTCATGGCTCTTAAGGATATCGCTCTGTCCTCCGGCAGCGCCTGCACGTCAGCCTCGCTGGAACCCAGCTACGTTCTCCGGGCCCTTGGAAACAGTGACGAGAGCGCACACAGCAGCATTAGATTCGGCATTGGCCGGTTCACGACAGAGAGCGAAATCGACTATGTATTGAAGGCTGTGCGAGAGCGAGTCTCGTTCTTGCGGGAACTCAGTCCGCTGTGGGAGTTGGTGCAGGAGGGCGTTGACCTGAATACGATCCAATGGAGCCAGCATTAAAAAAGTCTCCTCCCTATTTAACTAGCACAGTCTCGTTACATGATTTGATACCAATATGTTTACCCCTCCTGTCGTTTTACCCGGACGGCTGGTTTTTTTTTTTTTTTTCCTCCGTGATCTTCAGTTTATTCCGACCTTGAATTTGCCTTAAAAAGGGACGGTCTTCTCTTCTAGTCCAACAAACAGACATCTGTGATACCTCCAAACCTAACAGGCCTTAACGCAATCCTTCGCACCTCCATTTTCAACTAGCGAATCACAAATGACATGGGCGTGCCCAGCATTTCGGGCTTCCTTTTGAAGTGGGCTTTCGCTTGCTGTATATACTACTTAACTCGTGTAACATATTATTCTTTTGTTATTCTGTTTCTGGGCAAGTTGTTATTCTACCAAAAACAAAAGACAGAACGACGAGAAACGTTCGGTACAACTTAGCCCTCTCTTCTCCTTGACAGAATGCATGGATGGCCCTTCATACTCTGCCGTGTCTAATTTCAATCGCTGAAGTTTCGCAGGTAACTTAACTTCTCTGCGTGTAGATATTAAGTAAGAATACCCGCAAAGACACGTCATGACATAATATTATATATAATAGTTATTTTGTTCTATATCTCCCAACGAGTCAATAGCCTCGGCGTATTGCTCTCTTTTCCCCATTTTATTTCCCTTGTTCTGCACTCCCAGCGCGCTCCCAGATCGCCCTGGACACGTTCGAAAAAGCAGCTGCTGTGAGAAGAATTCCAATCACAGAAATCCTTGGAAGATCACGGGAATGACGATGGTACCAACATCCTGCTTTTGATCGTTCGGCAATGCACGCGTAGTGTCATAGATGACTATTCGGAATAGCTGTCCGAGCCTAGGAGGAGTCGTTTCTGGCATATGCAGCTCTGTAACTAGATAACTAGGCGTCTGACTAGCATTCTACCATGCGTCTCATGATCCCCGTGCCTACGCAGTCCGTGTATTAATAGATAGGAAGATGTGGTGTATCTTCGTTGAAGATTCATGACGTATCGAAATAGGGGGATAACTATATTTAGTAGACTGCATCCAGCTCATTTTGTTCTCTGACTTCCCCTCCCCCGCGCACCCTGGGCATACCCCGACCGAGGTTTTGGGGCTGAGGTAGAATTTAAGCTCTCTACCAAGGTATGCTCCAGCCCATGCCGCGAAACTGAAGAGTCACCGGTTGGGCTGTTTTCTCCACGTCTAACCGGGGTTTTGTAATACTTAATAATATAACTTTACCAACCTAGGCCCTTGCGGAGGAGGAGTTTGGGATTTTTTGTTGGCCCTGACAGAGTTGTTGTTCGCCATTAGTTGTTAGATCACCCCGGCATTCAATTTCTTTCCCTTTTTGCCTGTGAAACTGCTCTCTTCTATTCCTATCGTCCCCAAGCAGTTAACTAGTTGGTTGGATAGAACTCGAGTGAATGTCATGTGGGTGGCAATGAGACATAATGCTTTGCTAGTTTGGCGACGTTCTCGAGGCCATCCTTATTGAAGAAGAATAACTAGTTCTCTTTAGCTTTCTTTCAGGTCGAGAATTGAAGTACACTTACACATCTTGTCGAGTCTCTCGTTTGCTTTTTTGAGACCTCCTCCCAGCCCGTGTTTGCTTCACATTTGTCATTTCTTGACCCCACTCACTCAATATCTCCGCTCCACCCTCCATCATATCTGAATCATCTCTGAATCATCTCTGCTCGTCGCTGGCACTTGGTGGAGTAGGTGGTCTATCCTTAGAGACTTAAACAGACATGATTCCTCCCGTTCCATCGCTTGCGGAGTACGGCCTGTCTCCGGAGTCAGGTTTCCTTCCCAGTGAACCCCCGCTTCAGAGTCTACCAGACCCCTACTATTCAAGATGGGAGGCGATTGTCGCCAACCTGCAGGCCCTCATTCTTAGCCAGCGGCTACGGGTTACAATTGACCATATGCCAATTCTCTCCACGGACCAACTGAACACCGTACCAGAATGGCGGCGTGCCTATGTATTGTTGACTTTTATGCTGCATGGTTATATCTGGGGTGGTGATATTCCCGCTGAGGTACGTTGCATAGTTAGTCATTGTTTTTTTTTTTTTTTTGGCGCCACGCAATGCAGGATGTGGGTGTGATCTACAATAAAAATCCACTTACTGACCTGTATGATCTCCAGAAAATTCCACCTTCCCTTACAATCCCCCTCTTGACAGTCTCTTCCCACCTCGAACTCCCTCCCGTCGCCACGTATGCGAGTCTCTGCCTCTGGAACTACAAATCCATATTTCCCGAAGATCCCGCCGATAACCTTGAGAACATTGTCCCATTCTTTACCTTCACCGGCTCCCTCGACGAGCAATGGTTCTACCTCATCTCCATCGCTATTGAAGGCCGCGGTGCTACCACCATTCCCTTGATGCTCAATGCAATCTCAGCTGCCCGGCAAGGCGACATAAAGGTCGTCACAGAATGCCTCAACACATTCGCCCAACGGCTCGACGATATCGGAACCCTTCTGCAACGCATGTATGAAAACTGCGACCCACACGTCTTCTACCACCGCATCCGCCCCTTCCTAGCCGGCAGCAAGAACATGAGCGACGCAGGCCTACCCAATGGCATCGTGTATGACGACGGAACCGGAAAGGAATCGCGCCACACCTATGGAGGTGGCTCCAATGCGCAGAGCTCTCTAATCCAATTCTTCGACATCGTTCTGAACGTCGAGCACCGTCCGACCGGCACGAAGCGGACCGAAAATTCCTCATCAAGCGACGAGGGCGGCCAGGCCCCGAAAAAACACCACAATTTCATCATGGAGATGCGCTCGTACATGCCAGGCCCCCACAGACGCTTCCTCGAACATGTTGCCAGCGTTGCGAATATCCGCGAATTCGTCCTGGAGAACCGGTCCGATAAGGCGCTGTGCGCCGCCTACGATTCGTGTCTGGCAACCCTTCGCGGCCTGCGGGATAAGCACATTCAGATGGTCTCGCGATATATCATTGTCAAATCACGCGAGATCCGCAACCAGCAGCCTAGCAGCCTTGCGAAAACACGCGTTGATATTGCCCATCCAGTGTCCCAGGCCAGCAGTTCTCGTTCTGCGGCGGTTGTCAACCCCGCCACGGTCGCTGGCAGTGCTCGCAAGAGCCTGCGGGGAACTGGTGGCACGGCGCTGATCCCGTTCCTTAAGCAGTCTCGTGATGAGACTGGGGAGCCGGCTATTGGGGTGTTGGACAAGGGGTTGCCAGTCAAAGGCCCTGCAGAGGCGAGCTATGCACCCCTAGATATCATGGATGAGCACGCAGATGGGCAACTGGAGGTTGTGGGTCTTGCGGGGACGTGGAAGAGGGAAGAGGGTGAAGGTGGGTTGTGTCACTGGTGATTGCAGTTGTGCACCGTGGTTGCGTGGTTACTGGGGATTGAAGTGATGATGAGGCTTGGGATATTAGCTACGGCTGTGAATAACAAAACAACTACATCAAAAGGTTAGATAGTTCTGGTGTTTCTTTTCTTGGTCATCTGTATGGGCCGGATTTTTTTATGCGTTTTTTCCTTTTGCTGTATGCTTGTAATGTACATAGCTAGCTCTCTTCACTCGGTCCCTTTCTGCTCCCTGGTCTGACCGTGGTTAGCTGCTGGCTGCTGGTAGCTGGTCGGTGTGCTTGCATCTTGTGCTTTTGTTGGTTGTTGTACAGATTATAACACTTATTCATCCAATTGGTATATACGCTTTGCCTTGGGGATGGCATTATTTTTCAGTGGGGTTGCTGGCCGAAGCAATGGAAGTAAATACAAGCCCGCTGAGGTATGCTGCGACTTGTGACTGGTTTTGGAAAAAGTAGAAATTCTTAATTCGATATTGGAATTGACTGTAATCGGTCTACAAGAATAGACAAATGCCCTCAATTGACCCCAATCTTGCAAGGCGTTTCCTGCTGATCTAATGTTACTCAAGTAATACCTAAGCTTAGCCCCCCTTGTCCGGGACAGCTGCCATCCAAGTTAGGGTGAAAAAGGCCTCCTATTAGGACTGGGGCCTTAGCTTTTAGGTAAACAGATTTCCAATTCGTAGATTGAACAGCCAAGGGGACCAGCCGCCCAAAATAGATACGAAATGTGCAACTTCCAGAGCCAGCGCTGAAGTGTTGACTGCGCCAGGACTGGGAATCACCACCAGGGAGCCCGGGCCATAGGTGCTAGCTACCGGAATGGGCCTGGTGGTCTCCCTACGGGCTGGATATGCCACTCATTGGGGATATGGGTGGTGGAGTTTCCTCTCCCGAATCAGAATCGGTGGCTAGGTCTTCGTTACCTGAATATTCAGGATGGGTCTTTCTCCTGGATGGTGGTTGAGAGGAGTGGCGTTTACATCCAACTCCAGGTTGCCTTCACTTCCCGAGGCAGCGCAACTACTTCCGGATTCATCATAGGCTTTTTTCTCCTGGAGATGGTTAATAAATTCTTGCCTGTGACACCCGTCGTCAGACATCCATTCAAGATTGAACTTGAGTTTCCTTTTGACAATAACATACTCTGATATAGTGTGGATGTCATTCCCATGCCCGTTGTACGCAAGAACATTTTTGCATTGACGACCGCAGAGTTCAGGTTTGCCACGGTGTGGCTTAATTCTACGTGGGCAGAGGTACCTAGGTCTTCACTTCAGTTTCTTTCGTGCGAACAAACTGTACATCGGCAATGTCGGTATCATCGTACAGAGGAGCCCATCGTCTGGCAATCGTATATTTCGTTCGTTATCTCCCATGTAACGCATTTCTGGAAGCATTGATCCTCTAGGAAAGTAAACAAGTGAGGACCCTGGAAATACTTTGCTTCGTGTCGTAGTCTAGCGTACAATCCATAGTTATTATGGCCGCGGGTCGTGTTGAAATCGAGGGGGAATGTGCCCCGACGAAGATATTCAAATAATGTAGTCGAAAAGGTAAGGGTCTCCTTCGATATGGATAGAGCGGTTTTCTTGCTTGTCACTGGGCCAGGACTTGGAGAAAAAAGCCTTGAAGTAGTTACTTCTCCCAGTCAATGTCTCGATCCGGGTCGCGTAGCAGGTGTCGCCAACCCTGATAATAATGGGAGATGCTAAAGCATTATCCGGTATAGGCAACCGGCTTTCCCCCGCTGGTCGTACCATTCTCGCACAGCAAATTCTAGAGGAGGAGAGTATTTAACCGAGAAAAATGTCCGAAGAATAAAATGAAACAGCCAAAGCGAAAAAAAAAAATAAAAATAAAAATAAAAGAGCTGTTGGTAGTGGAGAGGAAAGTAAGGGCCGTAGCTGGTATTTATAAAACATGCAATATGCTGAGACAAATACATTCTAGCAGAATGTAGAAGAGCCGGATCCTGTTTCACCAAAAGACAGGAGAGACTAAGAAAAGAGACATGAGTAGAGAGAGAGCACGCACTGCCCAACCGCATAACTACATAAGAAGATCTTTCACACACCTGCTATGAACTGTGCCATCAACCACCTGTCAATGACAATAGCTCTGCTGTGATAGAAGGGAGTAGAACTTCTGCCAGCTGCATAGCCAAATACAGCTTCCTGACTTTACGTAAACAGGAAGATGTTTTTTAGCCCAAGCAATGCCCTGCTGTAAGGCCATTTGCAGGCTATCCTGCTCTTTTAAACTGGAAATGGTGTTTGTCTGGTGTGAACTCATTGTTATGACCCCCTTTTGTCTTGACGATGGCCTCCATCAGAGAGACAGTATATTTATCATGCATCTGACAATCGTCGCAGGTCTGTTCAGTTAGTTAGTTACCAGGGGAAAACCCTGCCCTCTGTGCAGCAAAAGGAAACCATTAAAGCTGCTTGGAAACAGCAGCACTGGAGCAAAGGCGAGAAACATGTCGAAAGAAAACTTCATTCAATCAACCCCCAGGAGATTTCAGCCGGCGACCAGAGTTGGAGTCGGGTCCGACAAAAAGGCGGGGAATCGGTTGTTGAACCCGCAAGGGAGGGAGGAGGTCACGTGGACCAACCACCAGTGTCTCCTTATTACGGGACCTATAACTGTTCCAACCGTATGGAGTCGTTCTCGTAGTTGGGGCGACCTTTGCAATCGATTAAGCTTGTCATTCGGTTACAAATTGCTGTCGCTTCGGGAGTAACGGTTGAAGGACGCAGCTTTTCTGGCGAAGGCGATGTTCCCAAGAGGAACTTGCTCTGAATTATACAAGATGCGCGCAGGGTGGGGCATTTCGACCATCCGCCGGACGTGGGAGTTTTGATCCAGCCAATTTGGGGGTTGATGGTTGCCCGAAGGTCCGCAGAAGTTAATATCACTGCCTGTATGCGGTTGTCCTTAGGAAAACTCTCAGCTTTAGTCTCTGAACACAACTTGGGGACTGACTCCCTCGGTTTGACTAACATTGTGATGCCGCGCCTGAGATGGAAAAGAGTGCTCCGCACTGCATTAACTAACAAGGGCTGGCGGGATGTCATTTGCTCTTATTGGACGTCGAGCATACGCTTGCGTCTTTTCGATGCGGGAACAGCTGGGTTGGCGACCAATTAAATATGATCAATAATAAGTCATGGATTCCTGTCGCAATGTCCTAGAGCACTCCGGAGAGGAGAGGAATTCCTCTCATTCATGTCGCCAAAAATTAAATGCACGGCTTCCCAGCCCCGCAAGGTTGTTGGCTGACCTTGCTGCTTCACAGATTTGACAAAGCGCTGTTCTCTTCCATTCATTCCGCGTCGGTTTTATAGACGACAGCCTCCAGGTAGACCTGCCAGAGAGCATCAAACTTTATGGCGGGATTTGGATTCAGCGTAGGGGACTTCATTACTGTGCTTCAACTTGCACATAAAGTCCGGCATCGCTTTGTAGATGCTCCAGGGCAGTTTGCAGCCATTTCTGATGAGTGAGTGTTTCCCCAAGAGGACGACAGGCAAACAAATAGAGCGGAGAAAGGGAAAAGGAGGGTTGGATGTGAGTTGTTTTTATGCAGCTTCTCATTGATTTACCTCCTAGTGTCCGAAGCCTATCTGCTGTTCTCCAGGAGGTCGACCTTATTCTCCCAAAGCACACGCTCACCGATCAGCAAGTGAGAGACTTCGAAAGCATTTCAAAAGGGTGCTACAACGTGCTGAGCGAGCTTGATACTTGGCTAAGTGATAATGATGTAGGCTCCAGATCGCACAAATTGAGGGAGAAGGCAAGCAACACTTTAAAGCGATTAAGATGGGATTCCGGTGAAATGAGAGACTTCCGCAACCGCATTACCTCGAACATAAGCTTACTGAATATCCTTTACAGCAAACTTTCCGGGTAAGTCTTGCCTGACCATAATTCATTCTTCAAAGCTCTAACTCGACAATAAGGGCTCGTATTATCGCAATAGAAGAAAACGTCGGTCATCTAATTCATCATCAGGAGGAGGAGGACCGCAAAAGTATCCTGAATTGGCTCGATCCTGTTGACTTCTATAGCCAGCAAGTTGATTTTCGTCGGCGTTGCCAGGAAGGGACCGGATTGTGGTTCCTGAACTCAAGCGAATTTTGCCAATGGCTAAATACACACGGAAAGACGATGTTTTGCTTCGGGATGCCAGGTTCCGGCAAAACAATCTTAACTTCTCTGGTCATCGATACATTGAATTGCCAATTCGACTCCGACCCGGATGTAGCTGTTGCCTACATTTTCTGCAACCATCAGCGTCAGGATGATCAGAAACCCGTGAATATACTGGCAAATATTCTGAAACAGTTATGCGAGAGAAAGTCCACAGTATCCAAAGATGTAGAAAAGCTCTATGAGAAGTATCGGAATTATAAGAGTACACTGCAGACAGAGCATATCATAGAGGCTTTTGAATCCACCGCCATATTGTACTCCAAAATTTTCATCATTGTTGACGCATTAGATGAGCAGACAACTTCGGAAGAAGATCGATGTGCTACGATATCTGCAATATTCCAACTCCAATCAAAGTTTGCGGTGAACTTTTTTGCAACGTCGCGTACAATTCCGGAAATCGAGGTACAATTTGAGACTTGCATACGAAAGGAGATCCGTGCAACGGACGATGATATCCTGAAATACGTGGAGAGTCGCGGACGTTCGCTTCTGCGATCCAAGATTTCAAAATACCCCGACCTTCAATCTCTAATTAAAAGAGAAATCCCTGCTGCTGCAGATGGGATGTAGGTGCTCTTTTAAACACTGTAGAGCTTCACACTGTTTGCAACTGACCAAATTTTCAGGTTTCTTCTTGCTCAACTGAACATGGACCTGCTCATGACCAAAGCCACTGCAGGGAGCCTCCGCCAAGCTGTGCAAACCTTGCCCAAGGGCGCGAAAGGATTGGATAAGACTTACGACCTCGTAATGGAGAGAATCCGAGCCCAAGGAGAAGATTTTCAAATGCTTGCGCAAAGAGCCCTAGCTTGGGTGCTCTATAGTCGCACGCCCCTCATGACCGCCGAAATCCAACATGCCGTTGCCATCAGTCCCGAGATGTCCGACTTAGATGAAGAGTTTATGCCGGAGGTAGAAGACCTGATATCGTTCTGCCATGGGCTGCTCACCGTTGACAGGGATAGAGACGTGGTCCGGTTAATTCACTATACAGCTCAGGAATATTTGGAGAGTGCTCTTCCGCAAATTTTGCCAGACCCAAAGACATACCTCGCGACGTCATGTCTGACGTACCTACTGTTCGACGTGTTCGGGGACCCGTCTCCATCGGCTGATGATATACCGGAAAGGAAGAAACAAAATGTCTTGTTGGATCGTGCGGCCAACGATTGGGGCTGTTTTGCTCGAGACATTGAGAACGAAATGCATGACTTGGTTTGGTCTTTGCTGGACCATGAAGCCAAGCATGCCAATTTCCTTCAGGCCTTGCGATATGAAGAACTTCCCGGCCGTCGTTGGATTCAGTCGCCTTCGCGAGAACTATCTGCTTTTTATTATCTTGCCAGGTGGGGACTGGCCAAGACTTTAAAAACTTTTCTGGAACGTGGCGAGAATCCAAAAGGTCAAGACGCAAACGTCAATTTCTCACTATGTGCTGCTGTTGAATGGAATCATATTGCAGTTGTAAAATTGCTTCTCCAAGAAAAGCACGCTGATGTTAATTATTTGGATTCGGATGATCATGATATCCTGCCGCCTCTCCACCAAGCAATCTTGGCTAAATCCCACGTCATTCAGGAGTTTCTTCTTCAGCAACCCGATATTGATGTCAATTTGAAATGTGATATTGAAACTCCGTTGACCGTTGCATGGTCGGCGAATGACGTGACTGCGATTGGCCTGCTTTTGCAGCGACATGATCTGGATATTAACGCTACTCTTGACGTGTACGGACGCACTGCACTGCACTATGCAGTTGTGGAAGGAAAACCAGATATACTGAGCCTTTTGCTGAGACATCCGGAAATCGATGTTAACGTCAAGGATACCGCAAGGTTCACACCACTGGGCCGTGCAGCTAATTCTGGAAATGCAGGGTTGGCGCAGCTTCTTCTAGCCCATAAGGATGTTGATGTCAATCAAGAGGCGTTCTTGACATCGCCACTAACCATGGCAGCTTTGGGGGGTTTCGAAGACGTGGTAAAGGTTTTGCTGACGCATGGTGATATTGTTGTTAACGGCGCGCCTGCGTCATATTACTCGGCATTACCTGTGGCAGCGGATGGGGGCCATGTGGGAATTGTAAAGCTTCTGTTGAGTCACAAAGGTAAGGGTATGAACATGATGAATGAGAATGGTTGTAGGGCACTATTCAGAGCAGTTGATAGAGGCCATGAAGAGATAGTGAAGATTTTGCTCGACCACAAAGAAGTCGATGTGAACACGAAGAATGAGGATGCTTGCAGAGCACTATTCAGGGCAGTCAGTAAAGGGTATGAAGGGATAGTGAGTCTTCTTCTAAAACATGAAGGAATGGATGTGTTCATCAAGAATAGGAATGGTTGTACGCCACTGTTCATGGCCGTTGATAATGGGAATGAGGAGATAGTGAAGCTTTTGCTTGAACATGAGGGTATCGATGTAAACGCCGCAAACGCAAAGGGTCGTACAGCACTATCTGTGGCGGTTGATAATGGGTTTGGATTGATAGAGCAGATGCTCCTCCAGAAAGGGGCAACTTAGCTTCGAGAATTTTGGTAAATCCCCAAATGCTTAGTTGGATACCTTACCACTCTAGCTACAATAAACCAGTTTTATTAGAGTCAACGAGATAAACTGGTTTCTGAAGGTATCAAATTGCAAAGTTGTGGCTCTCAAGTATCGAACCCGGAACTGTTATAACGAGCACCTGAACTCGTTCTGTGGGGCGAGATCTCTGCAGTGTAACTACGTTGGTTACACTACCGGTTTCCCGACCTCTCGAAGACAAAGAAACTTCTTATGTATGGGAAAAGGCTTTGTGAAGACAAAGGTTAAAAAAGTCCCAGATGGCTAAGAATAGTAAGGGTTGAGATATATAAGCTCTGTTATGCGCAGTCAGCTTCTAGCTCTTCAATATTGCTTCGTTATGCCCGCTACTGTGGGATTAAGGAGACCCAGGTCTGCGGTTTGTCACTGGAAAGGTGGCCCAAGTTTTGGCCCGACCACTAATCTCGTTTTCATTGGTGGTCGCCATACAGCATTGCACCACGTAGGGCTGTAATATGATGATTCGATAGATTGCTTATTTCGGAATACTTTCCTGGTTTCCTTTAAATATCTCTCGAGAAGTGATATCGTTCAAGCGTCAGCATTGGCATCCGCGCGGACAAGGGAACTGCAGTTGAACAATAAGATTCTGGGGTCAAATTTGGTATACATCTGTTGAAGGAACTATCACACAAATCAACTAACGAGACTGGTATCAGGGTAAGAGTCATAATTCATTAAATATAAATTGAAAAAAAGAAAAGGCAAAGAGATCAGAAAGACAGAAAGACAGAAAAACCCAATTTCCTGGTCTACTTGTCATCATCGCCCCATCGCCATCGCTGATCAATATCTGTTGCAGCACTCTTCTGTTGCAATTATCCTTCCTCGTGCATCTGCTTAAACTTTCTCCTCTCCTCCTCGGCCTTCATTCTGTCCTCGTCACTCCCTCCGAACCCGGGACCCGAGAGGAGCTCGCCCACTTTGCCGGTCACACGATCCCCAGCACCTTCGCCCCATTCATGCGCCTGCCGGCGTACTTCCTGGTTTTCCCACCTCTGCATTTTGGCGCTCTCCAGCTTTGCGGAGGTTGTCGTTGCCAATAGCGGCGCCGACGGTTTGTTTGGCAGAGCCGACGGTTTGGTTGTACTGGCCGCTTGGGGGAGGTTGAGGCTTCCGAGAGATGTTAGATATTGGTTCGGGAAAGGCCTAGTTTGGGGAATGGTGAGGGGGAAGGAGATTCGTACAGTGTCCTTGTCCTTATCATCTTGGGAGGTGGTTCCCCCAGTCACCTTGCTGATGGTGTTTTTGATGGCGTTGGACGCCTGCTCCACGTAGGAGGAGGTGGTTGACTGCGGTTCGGGGTTGTTGGAGGAAGACATGGTGTTGGGATTTGTAGATTGGTATGTGTGAAGAAGATGGGCAAATGTTATTTTCGTACGATGTGGGATTCTTTCAGAAGTAGATTTTGATCAGAAGGATGATTGTTCTCCTGTGAGTGATTGGAGCTCGTGTTGGATGTTGTTAGAATGACGTTCAAATCATAGGAATACCGGGTCCTTTATATACAACTCCCTCATATCCATTCACACCACCCCTTCACCGTCCACTTGCGGGCAATTCATACCGCAATCCCAGTAAAACTCACCCAAATAGACAGCTTGCACGGAAGTGACCTGTGACATCATAGGGAGCCGGCGTAAGAATGATGTCATCAGGGGAAGTTGGCCTCGGATTCAACGTCAATGACGTCATCCCGCAGCGGACCGGCGTTTAACTTGCAAGCGCGAATCGTGGACAGGCAGGCGCGAGGGGATGGTGCCTGATCTTGCCAACGCCAAAAAGGCCTTTCGGGAGATCTTCAACTCGGTTTGCCGTTAGCAGCGCGCGATTCACCTACGCATTTGCATATGACAAGGCCGTTTAGAGGAGAGATTTGCAAAAGATGTATTTCTGGGCGCCCGGTATGCTCATGCTGGATCGCAATTTAAGATTTATCACCGACGTTCTAGTTCGTGCTAACAGTTATTCTTCCAGAATTGAAAATAGAGTTTTTGTTTTAAATCAGTCCGTTGCGTAGACATGCGCATCATTCCTCTATCAGCCGGTATCTCAATGAGATCTTTTCAGGACATACCGTCCATTACTCTCCCGGTATCTATACCAGGTTATCCGTGAATATATCCTCACAGCAAACCTAGGTCAATATACGAGGGACGCGCGAATAAAAAGAAAATTTATTAAATTTAAATTTAAATTAAAACTTTTTTTTAAAAATCCAAGGGTATATGAAGATTATTATAACTTCCCTACCAAGAGCTGCCCAGCCATGCCTTTTGCGGTCCAGTAAACAGTCTTCCAAAGATTCAGAATGTCCAATGTGCTCGTGAAGGTATCCACAAAGCCAAACGGAAGCATCGATGGAATCCAGCCTAGACAACAAAATGGGAAGCAGTTAGTGGATTTGTTTCAACGCGCGAAAATAGGTGGGTGGAGTGGTAACATAAAATAAAATCGAGGTGAGGGGGGGGGGAATATGACACAAAAGAATTCATCTCTCACCTTGCGCCAACTCCAACGCCCATCCATGCAGCTGATACTGCGATCCCATCCCTCTCTTCAGCCAATTCTGGTCTCCGGGAAAATATTCCGTCGCCTCGAGCTCGCCGGGCATGAACCGTCGCTCAAAACCTTGCAGGATCGTAAAGTAGTCATCTGCAAGATGAACGCCCGAGTGGCCCTCGGATCCCAAGGGAGTGCCATAGAAAATGAGATATTCGCTTATCGACGCGTGGAGGATGAGCATTGCGCCCATTGCGTTGCCGTGGTTGCTGTACAAGTACAAGTCAAAAGAAGAGCAGGAAATGACAATTAGCTAGGATGAGAGCGAACTGGTCATGGAGGAGTGTATATTTTTTTCATCATTCCATCTTTTTTCCTTCTTAACCGTGGTCCTTGGACTTTTTATTTTATTTTATTTTTATTTTTTATTTTTTATTTATTTTTTAAAAATTTTTTAAACGCGTCGAAATCAATCGCGCGAAAACGCTTACCTGAAAACCCATCGATCCGGATCCGTATCAAAAGGCAGCACATGCTTATGCCCGTATTCCAGACGCAGCTCCTGATTGAGATCCGCCATCAATGCGGTCACATTGTTCGGGTGTCGTTCAATTGAAGCTTTGGATAGATCCTGGAGCTTCTTCGGGTCAAAGATGTAGAACCGAGGTAGCGCTTGGTCGAGTTTGTAGAGAGCGACGAGGAGGAGGGGGAGGAGAGCGAGGAAACGCATCTTCGCTATGATTTGATTTACACCTCAATCAGCGCCAGTGCAATCAGGAGGGTAGGTGAAATATAGGGGAGGGATTTTGAGAAAGAAAAATTTTTGGGTCTGACAATTGTTCGGGCAAAAGTGAATGAGTTCGTGAACGAATTAAGTTAAACTCGACTAATTTGGGCGAGCCGAAATGATGCTTATATAATCCGGATAGGGGTCGCCAACATCGAACCATGTACGGAGGTAGTTAACATTTAACTAGAAAAAATAGGCCTGTGGGAACTCCTATCCACCTTGGACGCTATCCAATCGACAACCACGTCGACAATGATGGAGCATTCTGATCTTGTTGGAAGATAGAGTGTAAAATCTATTGCCCCCACGACATGAACAAGTTGCTTTATCTCTGGCCGCAGGATCCCTGGTCATCTCGCTCTCTTAGGGATATCCCTAGGGTGGAACTTCAATACTCTGCAGGCTTCGAGAGGAGGGTCGTTGGGCCATCTTCATCCGAAAATATGTCTGAATAGTGCGCTTTACAAAACTTGAAGATGCCCACAATCGGCGTCTAGCAGCTGTTCCTCTCATTGACTGTTCCATACGCATACTCAAGACATTAATGAATTGCGGAGATGTAATTCGAGATAAAACACTGATATTAATCCTGTGAGGTAGATATGTAGACATATATGTATACTGACTGCTATCTTGACATCCACCTCTTTTTCTATATTCGAAATCTCTATAACATACCTTTTCGATCCAATCTCTATTCTGCTCTGCTCCCTTCCCACAGGAATACGTTTCAAATACACAGCAAATAAACTACTAACCCTCCTCAACAACCAATCCCATCCCCTTCCCAGCCTTCTTCGAAAGCGCCCTCTTCAAAAACGCCTCTCTCGCCAACCCCCTCGTCAACCGCACCCAGGTATCAACACTCACCCGCCCTTTTACCAACGCAGCTTGCAAAACATATATTGCGCGCTGAATCCCCCGCTCATCAGCGACGAGGTCATATACCTGCTTGCCGACTACGGTAGGGGCAACAAGAACATCGTCAACAGCGGGAAGGCCAGTAGCCTTTTGATATTCTGTTACCGTTACCCCCGCTGTCGCAGCTGCAGGGTCGGACAATGATGGCGGCTTAGCACCTATGGTCGCATGCGCTGGGGGTTTGGTAGATAGGCGTGCTTTCGCATCCGCAATGACGGCGTCGGCACGTCGGAGGGATTGTTGAAGGATCGCCGTGTTGGACTGGATGGTTGTACGGAAGTAGTTTAGGAAGGAGATTTCGGCTTCAAGGGTGGAGATGGAGGCCTTGAGGGCTTTGGATTGGGAATGGAGGGGATGGAGACTGAACTTTATCTGAGCGATGTTTGCCTGGAGTGTTTGGGTGAGAGTCTTGGACAGCGTGCGGAGAAGTGCGTCTTTTTCTGGATTCGGAGGGATGGGCGGTGCAATCTGTGACATTGAAATGGAAGGGAGCTCAAGTTCAAACGGTGAGGCTAAGAGATCGAGTGCTCCGGTTTGTCTCTTCGCGGGAACCGGTTGCAGTGGTTGGTGAGAAGGGTGAGGGACCAGAACTGGGCCGTGGGACGGTGCGTGGATGGGTCGAGGTCGGGCTAGGGGTTGTGGACCAGGTTGGGGCAAGGCTTGTGGACCCGGGTGAGGTAGTGGAGGCACATACGGGCCTTGGGGGTACCGTGATCGCGGCAGCGGCCGTGGCTGGAAGGGTGGCGTTTGAGGAACAGGCGCGACCGGCTGAATTGGGGGGTGAGTCGTTACAGAATTGGGGCTAACCGGTCCGGTAAACTGTGGTCGATATCCACCTTGCTGGAAGCCTTGCTTTAGAGGTAGCTCTGGTGGTTGGGGTCCCATTCGCGTTGGTGGTGTGAACTGCCTTAGACTATTAGATCTCTGTGGAGAACGGACAATATGAGGACTCTGTATTTGGGCATTGGATACAGTTCTTTGGTGACGAATATCGTTAGGGAACGGGGCTAAAGGCGATGGTTGGCTATGCGCAGGCGGAAACGGTCCTCGCTTCCTTGGGTCTGTTACCATTTGGGCCGGTTTCGGTGGTAACCGAGGAAGAGGCGGGTTTCGTATAGATGGCCAGGGGACTGCATTTGGGGGCTCGATGAGCTCTCGCGGTAAAGGGGGAACGATTGGCGGAGTAGGTTTGGGTGGCGGAGCCATATGTGATATACTCTGTTGTAGTTTCGATATCACGGGAGGTTCCTTCGCAAATATGTCTCGGAGGATATACAGAAAATCAACAATTGTTGACCGCTAATACAACACTCCAAATCAGTGCATTTCTTTCAAGATATTGGTATGAAATACCTAGCTAGTTCCTCCATGCTAGAAGACTGGGATGCCCACACAATGACAAGAACCAATTCTTCCCCGTTTAGGAAAAGAAACGTAGTACTCACATCCCATGCATCCGCCCAGTGTGCCAGATAATGATGATACACCCTTCCCTCCCCGCTAACGTGCTGTCCTGGCCGAACCAGCATGTCCTGCGTCGGGGTGACGTACATCATTGGTGGTTCGTGGGGATATCCCTTGGGCACCCATATCGTTAACGGAAATCTATAAATGGCTCCACGAAAGGTGACAGGAAGCGTTCCTGAGATGTGAAGGAGTAGAGCGGGCGTGCCATTTTCGTATGCTATTTTACATCACAAGGAAAAAGAAGGTAACGAGTTAGCCTCAAAAACACGGAAGGAATGGACCTATGAAACACGGGTCATGGAAAGATAATGGGAGGGATAGGGATGGCTAACTGTAGACATCTGTCTGAGGGGAGAAGTCGGGGTGTTGGAACAGCAGGTTTGCTACATCGTTATACGTCCTGCTGGGGTCTTTGTATGCTTGATCAGGACCGTATTCGGCCTACGGAAGTCGCCAGCATTAGAAACGGACGTACGATTAGAGGATTTACCTCGGGGAGTTCGGGGGAAGAAGAACTTACGTTTGATAGGACTCGATGTAGCCAGTTTAGTGTCTTCTGTGACACCCTAGCCATGATTGTGGTGTGGGAGAAGAAAGAGTATCGACATGGCGCATCCTCGCTCGATGATGTTCGTGGTTGGGCGGGGACGAGTGGATAGTTAACTATATTTGATGGTTGATGTCTGCGCCCAGAGATCAGAAACCGTTTAAGAGCGACAGGACAATCTCGGCTAGTTTCCATCAACAGGACGGGAGACCTGAACTTGAAGATGATAGATAACTATTTTAATACATTTTGTAAATTTACTTTAGATTTAGTTTTTTTGTTTGAATATTTGGAATAACTACCCGGGGGGGGGGGGGGGGTTAGACCTTGGATTTGCGAAGGAATGCTGTTTACTAATTAAACAGCCATGACTAAGTATATTGGCTCCCTGAAAAAGACACAGGAAGGGGGAATCTGAAATGGCACAGCAAGAAACATATCCTGCAATGAGAGACACACAAATAGAGGAGAAATTGAAGTGAAATAGGATGTGGGAAATAAAAGCAGGAGAAAACCTATATGCGTGACTAAAAAAATTAAAAAGAAATGTACACGGAGCAGTTAAGTCAAAATCCCCACGGCATTGCCACCATAAGTACTGCCATTCAGGCCTTTGTGCCAGCTTCAACTTCAGAATAAACCGGGTCGAGCCGGTCCGGAGAGAGTGTCGTGGCCACAGACCCTCCAGACCGCAGCGTAGTGTGGTTCTGAGAGAAGCTGACCTGATACTTAATTTCCGAATTGGTGACGTTATTGCTCTGTTCGCTTGGCCAAAGATACTGATGGCGGCCGGAAGAAGACGTCTCGAAACTGGATTTCGTAGCCACTGAAGCCCATAGCGAGGAAAGAGGAAGGAAAATGGCCACCAGCGTAAAGAGGTTGGAGTTCATTTCGTACTTGGGGAGTGGGTATTGGAGAATTGAGAAGATGGCTATAGACGTACTGTATTAGTATGTGGTTGATAATATATAAGCATATGAATCACTTTTGGGGGGGAAGAGGGGGAAATCCCTCACCTGGGATCACCATAGTCTGGCAGGACATGATAAACATAACCTGCATAGCACCAAACCTGGTCAAGCCTAGTCGTATACGAGTGACGAGTGCATATGCCAATTTCGTAACAAAGACGGCACTGAAGAAACATGTGCTGATCGTAATGGTGATGTTCGAGGCGCTTTGAAGCCAGATAAAAGGCGCGAAATTCGACGCCTGCACAATAGCAATGCAGTTCTCAACCATTAAGCCAAGGCGGAACCCGATGGCCATCAGGGAAATCGCGGAGGAAACTGCCATGAGTAGATAACGTTGGATATCCGGAAGGGTCGTGCAGACAACCCTCGTTTGGATCAGGAGGGACATTTCCATGCTGATTACCAGCAGAGTGGTGAAGACAACGCCCAAGACAGAGGCTGCGTAGGCGCTCCCAGGCACCTGGGAGTAATCCTGACCAAAGTAGGCATAGGACTTGTTGAAGCCCGTGGTGAAGTAGATGGTCATGCAGAGCAGGCGGGCAAAGTTCATGGCCAGTGCGAATGTGTTTAGGAAGAAAACCGGCAGACGACGCTTTTCTGAGTGTGTCAGCATGGCAAGCATGAGTCCCGCAATGACAGATGCTCCGAGCTGGGAAGAGTAGTTGATGCAGACTCTGGTATTGTACTGCACGAAATCGTCTAGTTCATGGATTGAGACGTTGAATGGGGTTCCGTCGGCCTTGTGGAAGACCACGTTTTGGTTGAAGGGGTCGAATGAGGGTGCCATGGCTGATCTACGTGGAGATCTTGCTTCGTGAGCAGTTGGTGTATGAGCTGGTTGGGGAGAGAGAAATATATTGACTCAGGAGGTTGATAGAGGAAGCTGTTGATCTTGTTCGACTGACCAAGGGGATTCCAGAAGTCGAACGAGAACAGGAGGGACGAGAATGAGAAGGTGCATGTAGAGACACACATAGAGAGAGAGAGAGGAGAAGTAACAGAACAGAGGAATGGATGCGGATGGGTCATAATAAAATATTATCACACAGTCGCTTCATCAACTGTATCAGTGAAAGATCCCGCACTGATGACAAGGGGCAAGGGTGCATTGATCGGGCAGGGCATAATATGGCCCAAGAGCAAACGCTTGAAATGAAGATGCATTATGTCCAGGCTTTGTATATATACACGAGACATTGATATGGGGAGAACAATGTGCAAGAGTGAAGCGAAGAGGATGGCAAGCGTGCAGCACAAACAGATATACGTCCAATATCTGAGTTGTACATCAAATAGGCTTTCAGCAACACGACAGTATTCCCTCGGTGACGGCGAGCGGCAGCCATAAAAAGCCTTTGAGAGCCAGAAATAATCCAAAATGCAGATGTGAGGGTGAAGGGCGTGTTTGGAGCTCGAAGAACAATATGAGCAGGATGAATGCTTGGGATGGAGAACAATAGTAAGCGGGGAGCAAATCACCATCAAGACACACAGACTTCACCCACACGGCTCAGACATACAAACGGAGAGCTCTAGACACCTTCGTCGCAGAGAATGATTGGAAATATGTGTGAAATAAAACATATTTACTTTTGGAAGTAAAAATTAGAAGAGGACATCTTTCCTCTCTGCGCACCAGCAACCAGGAGGAGCAGAGGGGTCAACACCCAACCCTTGAAATAATAATGCATCATGCATCATTTCATGGAACGTGAGCTGCAAGTGCAGCTCCAGGATCCAGTAAATCGTGCGATTACAGATCCGCGACAAATGCACGACAGATTCAAAAGGATCTGGAAGCACATGGTTGATGTTCCGTGCTTGGGGTCCTGAGCTTAACCGCAACTTGACGCATTCCCCGAGCACTGATATCAACCAGTTTCTAGAGTTGCATATACATATGATCCAACTTACAGGGCCCCATAATGTCAGTCCGCGACATTCGGAGACGAGAAGCACAGATTCTCCATAATGCCGCCGCAGTTTGTATCCAAAGCTTGAGAAGATACCAGCGCACGTACAGATCGCGAGATCCATGGAATCGGCACGAGCGAAATCAACACATGGCTATCCAGCAATAGTAAGATCAGAACAATATATGGAGCGGGGGATTATAGAACTGAAATTAGCTGCTTTTCTTATTCTTGGGTCTCTCCCTCCGGCTTCCTCTGCAGATGTGTTGGTGTAGCATTACAAGGGCCGTGAAGATAGAATTGAAGATGTGTAGACATGGTTGAATGGGGCAAGAGGGGGTCAAACTTGGACACTTCTTATATGTATGATTGTAATTGCAGCACGATGCGACGTAGCATGGCGGAATGATGCAGAGGGGAGGTAATTGAGAAGAGCAAGAAGACGTTTTATGAAGCCAAGTTGGGTTGCTGAGGGTCGGTGTTTAGCTAACTTACTAATAAGCTCGTTAAGCTATTAGGGGTTATCTCACCACTGTTAGTTAAACTCCGGGGAAAAAGCATCCCAACATCGGCGCATTCGACATCTGCGCCGCGCCAGATACAAATACTACTCCAATCCTAAACCCAGAAACATCAATATCCTAGTTACACCTCACATCCATACATATACCCTAGCATCAATCAATCCGTCACCCCCAAAAACGTCCCCTCCTCCCAGTCTACCACACACCGCCCCACACACGGCACCAACCAAGAAAACCATGACATCAACCTCAACAGCAACCTATACCCCACCCCCACTCCCCCCCCCATTTACCAATTCCCCCTCCCACCTCCTCGCCCAGGGCGCCGAAGGTCGTCTTTACAAAACTACCTTCCTCACACCTTCCACCCCCGCCGCTCTCAAAGTCCGCCCTGCAAAACCTTACCGGCATCCAATCCTCGATAGCAGATTGACACGCCAGCGCATATTACAGGAAGCACGGTGTTTGGTGAAGTTGTCGAGGGAGAACGTCCCTGTGCCTGGCGTGCTGGCGTTGGATGTTGAGTGTGGGTTTGATGGAGATGGGGATGGGAAGAGTGGAGAGAAGAGGGAGGGGGAGGATACGGCAGGGAAGGGGAGCTCAAACTGGACTGCATGGCTGCTGATGGAGTGGGTGGATGGCATTGTTGTTAGGCAGGTTGTTGATTGTTGGGAGAAATGGGTTAAATCGAAGGAGAAAGCCGGGCTAAGTGATCATATGGAAATTAGGAACAGTGAAGATGAGATATGCGTGCTGCTAAGGCGCATTGGGCTTGTTGTTGGCGCTATGCATAAGGCTGGTATTGTGCATGGTGATTTAACGACGAGTAACCTCATCCTGAGACCCGTTGGACACACCAGTGCGCACCCTTTGGTGGAAGGGAAGGAGACAGAAATGGAACGGGAGGGGAAGGAGACAGAATCAACCCAGCCGATTAGTACGTCCATTACGCAGGATGCTAGGCTACAGTTTCTGGAAAAACCTTCGCTGGATGGGGAAATCGTCCTCATTGACTTTGGTCTTGCTGGGCAGAGTATCCAGGATGAGGATCGGGCTGTCGACCTGTACGTCCTTGAACGGGCGTTTGGTAGCTCGCATCCGAGAACAGAGCCACTGTTCCATGAGGTTCTTATGGGGTATGCTGACAGCTACAAGGGGGCAAACGTGGTGTTGAAAAAGCTTGAGCAGGTTAGGTTGCGGGGACGGAAGAGGAGTATGATCGGGTGATAATAACTGCCCTGCAGGCAAGGCGCGGCATATTGGTCTCCCCTTCTCTCAGTTTTAATTCAAATGTGGCAGACGTATAAACAACGAATCATGAAACATAAACCAGAATGCTAGCTAGATGTTCACCTTGATCAAAAAGGACAAGAACCACCGGCTCCCCGGAAACTTACATGAGATGCCATGTTTTGGGCTATAACAGGAAAGGATAAAGAACGCCAGCGTCCAGAGCAGGAAGAAAAAGAGCACATAATTTGCTTTCTTTCTTCATATTATATATCTACTCCGTCAACTCAGTAGAATTGATACAACTCCCCACTTCCGCAAGCGCAAAATATCCTTTATTCTCAATCACCCCCCTATCCTTTACCACAGCGGTATACTTCACAACCCACTGTGGCACAATATCACCATTCAACCCACCATCTTCCGCCGCGGCCGTTGCCGCCAGTATCCCCGCGCCCTTCTCCCCACTCGCAAGCAAATCTCGGATCGTCCCCTGCGGCAAAATATCCGTACAATCATTATGTGTCAGCAACTCGATATTCTCCTGTTTGGCAAAGAGGATCAGCGCCTTTGGCACGACGCAGCAATCCTTGACGTTAATCTGATCAACGGCGGGCCGGATTTTGGTATGCGGGAGGAATCTGGCCAGGCGATCGCTGTCAAACTCCGCCAGCCCCAGTTGGGATATCATGCCTTTTGCATGTAGGGATTCGAGAGTGCGCCAGGTCTGCACTATGCTTTCCAGGTCTGGTGCTACGGATGGGTCGTTGGTACAATTGCCACAGCCGACTTTGGTGCCGTTTGACACCCTTACATCTTCCCGTTCGCCCTCGTTGTCGCCTTCATCGTCTGCGTCAAATGAGATTCCGGGGAACGATACGATGAGCAGGTCTATGGAGCTAACGTGCAACTCCTTCAAGACGAGGTCTATCGCTTCACGTGTATGCGCACAGCGGCGTGAGGCGGGGACTCCTGGCAGATAGAAGAGTTTGACGGTGATGTCATACTGGTCGCGGTCTTCTATCAGGCCACCTTCTGAGAAGTCAATGGCGGGCACGTAGAGGATCTGTCCTTGCTTGGATGTCCAGGTGGTATAGTTGCTGTATGAGAGTCTTTGCGGGGCAGCGTGGATTGCCTGCAGGGCGCCGTTTGTGTTTGTGTGTGACGGTTCGATATGTTGGGCTGCGACAAAGTTGGAGCGGAGGGCGTTGAGGAGTTCGACGTTGGATTTGTTGCAGGTTTGTCTGCGGATGACAGAGGGCCC